ATTAGCCCTTCCGCATGTGCTACGTTGACTTTGATCAATAGTGACTACCCCACTCAGCACATGTTTAGAAGCGTGCGGTCAATCCTCGAATTACATGTTAGGAATACGCTAGATATACAGTAAAGAATGACTTTATGTTTAGAAAGCTACATGTACAGATCGGCAGCTCCAAGCATAGTGGAGTATAGAAGAGAACAGCAGATGTGTAATCAAAGACACGGAGCAATAGGCAATCGAGTAACGTTCGTACGCGTTTGCAGAGAGTACATAATATTCTGCTACACCACTAATAGACACACTCATAATAGAACATTCCGTGTTCCCACCAAACAACCACTTCGATTTCTTCATGTGCATCTTTCCAGTCCTGTAGCGCCTTCCACGCGTTAATCAGCTCTAATACTGCAGGTGCCCTACGCTCCGGGAAGCCTGGAATATAGGCAATCCCGCTCGCTTCTCTCAACTCCAGCGCGCTCGACCCGTTTTCGTGCCTGTAGGATGCATAATATGCGTTGTGATGTAGACCGATATTCTGACATCCTGACAGGTGAGGGTGTAGTTCAGAGCATTCAGCCGCACATTCGCGTCGAATTTCGAGTGGGTGTATTATCTCGCTCACGGCAAAATCATGCCCGCATCATGCGCACCCATACAAGCCCGCCGAAATCAAGGCTGGCAGAAGGCCCGCCGCGTTGCTGGCGTATGAATCTGCCAATGTTGCTTTATTGAACCTCCAGGCTCGGTAGACGTTCCATCGTCGGTGCTTAGAGGTTTGTTGGTGGCCGTGCTTCTGGTCTAGTGAGGTTGAATCACGAGTGCGAACGCAACTGCACGCGCATATTACTGCACTCGAATCAGCTCCTGTCTCTTCGAGAGACCCAATGTAGTGTCTTAAGATGTGTTGTCCCCTGGTAGAAAAACCCCATCAAATGCATACCTCTCGCGCAGTAGTATCTCTTACTTTTTTATCCTGGAGAGGGAATCGCGGAAGTCTGTAGCAGGGAAATCGCGTTTGCGCCGTTCCGCTTAGCGCTGGCACCCAGCTCACCGTAAACATTGGCTTAATAATTGGGGGAGGTGCAATTGGCTGCGCGCGAGTAAAGATGCCTTTGGTAGAACTAACGTCCATTGGGTATCCATACAACGAACCGCTAGTGCCTTCCTCGCACAGCCACCGTTATCAGATGTAGTATATTCGAGTTGTGCGTTCGCGTATCAATCCGCTCTAGCATCTTGATAACCCCCATCGTCATACAATAGACGACCACGGTTCCATCAACTAGCTCATAAACGAATTCGATAGGTCTGTAGGTTTTTCGTGCTGTAGTCCCGTGCCCCTGCGGTTCGATCATGACACGTGAACCCGCTTTCTTGAAATGTTGCGACGAGCTGGTAGGGTACGAAGGATATTCAGCTCGACGCCAGGACCTCCTTCCAGTGGTGCTGTGATTCATAATGGCTGCTGGCAAGTTTGGTTGTGCAAATTTGCCTATCTCGAGGTCCGCCGTTCACGCATCCCAGAGTGTCGTGACTCTTTGCCTTCTTCGTGATTTCATCTCGCTCCTTCTCTTCCTCGATAGAGTTCTCTCGGAAGTCGTGTTCCGGTGGTTATGGCAGGCACTGGGTTACAAATCCGCTCGCGGAGCGGCTCCTGCACATTAAGTGCGTCTCGCAGGTCTCGGCTTCCAGGAAATCTGTGTGGTGACTTGTCAGCGATGCAACCATCTGCTTATCCTGTCCGTGAAGCTGGCTCCGTTCCACTGTTGATAGGTGCGGAAATGTCCTCCTGACTGCTATACATAGCTACCTTTCCGTACCCTACTGTTGTGCCGTAATCAGTTCAGCTGTGATAGGCTCTACGCTGGTGCGTCTCGTCAACCACAAGTCCAACAATGAGTTCTGACCAGTGTCAAACTTGAGGTATTTTCATCTCGGTGTTTTGAAAGAAGGCGTGCCCTCAATTGGCCTCACTTATGCGCGTGCCCAGCATATTTTTCCTCCATGTCGTTGGGTCTCCAATCGTATCGTAGTGGAGTAGGAAGTTTCGTTCATGGAGGTAACATGGGAGCCCTCTGGTATTGCAAAGCAGTACCATCTCTTTCTTTCCAAACTTTCGGGGACTCCCTCTTTTAAAAGGTTGTTCCCTCTCCTCTCTCTTTCTCTTTCGTATCATCATCATCCGATCGAGCCATCCCAAATACCAAAAGCTTCCTGATCTTTACCATCATTACCCATCATTCCACTGTCGTTTGAAGGCCGCAGTACTCCCTCACCACAACTCATCATTTCCCATCACACCACCGTCATCATGATTATGAAGACACACACTGCCGGCGCCAAAAGGCAGGAATCCAGATTCTTGCAAGATTGGAGGCAACCAAACAGGACCTCTCCTCCGACTTCCCCTTCTCCTCCCACCACACGCCCCACTACGCCATCATGGCGGTCGCCATCAGATGATTCGCGAAGCCGATCATCATCAGAATCCTCTTCCTCTTCGTCCAACTGGAGGACGGGGTCACCACCTCGACCCATCCGCAATCAGGCAGGACTACCACCACCTGATGAGCTGATGGAAGGGGATATCGTCTACCTGACCCCAAAGACGATCCCAGACTCCTCCATCATTAGGAGTCACGTAAACCAGAGCGGCTTTGAAAATCACCCTATAGTCGTCCTGGGTAAGGAGAGACGAAAGGGCACCATGATCGTCAGTTTCCGGCTGCTTACCACCTTCAACGGCCACACAGTTGAGGAGAAGAGACAGGGCGATCGAAGATATCAAAGAAAGTTCTTTATGATGGTTGAGAACCATCAAGATATGGTTAACTCCACGATCAACCCGGTAGCCAAAATGGCTCCAGGTTTCGATGCGTTGAAGAGACGGAGCTACGTCAACCTCTCGCCCAATTCTCGCTTCCAGGTAGAATACGAGTATCTCGAGGCCTTTGGAAAGGATCCACTGCGGAGGCTTGACGCCGGGTCAGTCTCATATATCAAGAGCGCATGATCCGACACCTAAATTCCTCTTCCGACAATGCCGAACGCCACCGATGGCTCATGCCTGAAGGTCCCCGGCTCCTTTCTCTCGACAATGCTGATCGCCACCGATGGCTTACGCCTGAAGGTCCCCAGCACCCTTATATCGACAATGCCGAACGCCACCGATGGCTTATGCCTGAAGGTCCCCGGCACTCATCCCAGCGTCAAGGTCCGAATCCCGAAAGGGTTGTCGTCTTCCCGGTACGCCTTGCGAAGTCGTACGGATCCGAGGGACGCATCGACGACCTCCAGGCTGCATCATGTGCTGGCAGAACGACGAGTCACAGTCTCATGTAGTCTTCTACCGGGCGATTGTAGCTGGGTGATCGAAGGATGGTGCGGACGCGGTTGGATCCTTGGAGTTTATAACGTCTGCTTGCGCCGCTGTAGTACTATAATAATTAATGTCTCATTTGTTAGATCTCTGCATGCTCGCTTCGTGCTCGCTTCGTGATCACGAATATCGGATAATAAATGTGTCGGGGATGGATGTGTTGTGTGCGAAATTTGTGAGGGACGTAGCTACGTCATCCCGCACTAACTAAGGTTGCGCGGTCACACTAGCGCGTACACACACAACATCGACCTGAACTTCGCTCATTGTTGATGCAAACACGTTTCTGAGGTCGCCTAGTCTTCTGATCATCTCAGCCGTACACGCAACCGTATCTACGGTGCGTCCTCATGCTGAGCTCAGTTATGACCCATACTCAGGTAGTATCTTGTGTAGCGCAACCGACAAAGGCGACGGCTACTGACGACATATTATTTCGATCTCAAACTACAATATACTCACTCGTTCTCGGTCTAATATTGTTATCCCTCGTTACAGAGACCGCACACACCTTTTCTTTCTCGCCAGTCGCTCAAGGGGACAGTTTCCACCACACCAAATGATCTCTCACTACCTACGCTCTGTATCGCTGTTGCGATGCTCTTCCTTTTGATGTTTTCTTCTGTCACTCCCACCTTATCATATCCATGGCGACTATACCACTAGCCACGAAGGGGGTCGACTGATGGCCTACGAAAAGCCTCCCTTTCATCCGTTCATGGACATTGTACCAGTGAATACAAACATGACAGCGAAGGTAGTGGCGAGATGACATCAGAAAATACAAGAGCTATAGAGCTGGTAGTTCTATGACGTTCACTTGCGTGCCTTGGCCGCCTCTCTCTGGGCCTCTTGGTATATCCTTACGCACAAGCCATTCATTACTAAAGCACCCGGAGTACTCTCAAAAGCGCATTCCAAAAGTGCATGCACTCTTCAACTCCTAGCAAGTTCCTCGTCCACTACTTTGCTCACACCCAACTCTTGTTCGCTTCCAGGTCTGGCCTCGCTGAAACCTCGTGCGACCCCCTTTTGCAGCAGTCCCATCATATCGTTCTAACAACCGCGCAGGGTCTCTTTCTCTTCGATACACGCTATCCGAAGTAACTTGGGCGCTGGATCTTCCTGTATCTGCTACCATACTTCCGCAACCACAGCGCCCTTCAGCCCGTTAGCACGCCCTATTCAAACCACCTTACACCCGACATTCACCGCGCCTTGGTCACATTATCCCTACCTTCTGCTCTGAGCACGTGCACGCCCAGATTTGAGCTGCTACATAGCTCTCGCACTCTCTTCTCTCCCTGTATCATAGAGTCAACGCTCACCACCTACAATCGGCGTACAGTTTCGACTGCGAAATTCTTCTGGCCCGACCGCTGACGAGTCGATGGAAGGAGATACCGAAGACTTGTTTTCAGGTCTTGACTCTACGCACATAGTCATCCAGTCACACGAGCGACCACACGAGCCATCTGCTTCTCGACCGAACCTTGAACGTGCTTCATACGCTTACGATCATACCACGCACTCTTTCTCTGGCGGATACGAACTCGACGGTATTTACCCCCGCCGATTATTACACACTACCATCGCAAGTCAAGAGAAGCAGGTTCAAAACAATATGGGAGCTGATCAGTATTCTGGTATCGTGAACAGCCCTGTCGACCGAGTTTGCAATGTGACTGAGCATGAAGCAGGCGCACTCCTCAGCGTGGACAAGGGGAGAACTTCCAATAGTCCGTCGAACACCTTGAATGGAACAGAGCACGACACCATGGTGTACAGACTGAACGAGCCGACCCAAGAGCTAGGATTGGAACAACGCAGTCACGAGCCCGCCGTCTCCGATGAGCTCACGAAGCGCATACCAAAGCTGCCGCTCAGTGTGGAGGCACCCCTGGTACCAATTCTGGAAACGGAGTTTTCTACAGCGACGGAAGCGATGCACTCAAACTCGAGTGCGTTGACCAAGAACACGATGGAACATGCAGCTCCAACGTACCACTCACCGCCACAGCGACGACATGTTATGTCTCCCGATGGGACAAGTCAGAGGCCTTTCTCCACTATAGGATCTTCTGTGTCTTCCTTTAACCCTGTCCAGGACAGGACCCCGCCCCTTCGATGGACTCACAATCCCATTACCAGCACACCCGTTGTTGGTAAGGTTTACTTCATCCCTGATGGTGGTTACTTTCCTGCCTCAGTCATTCACATGCAGAAACAGCAAGAAGGCTTCTTCAAACATCCAGTACTTGTCACTGATGTAGATCATGACTTCGCGTACTTCTATGCTCTTACTAAATCTCCACCAGCTGCCATTGGAGAAATGGCAATGTGCCTACGCATGGGCAATAGTACAGCAGATGAAGGTGTCTACACATTAAGACTGGCGAACGGCTCACTCCCCATGCAGACCGAGACATGGATGAACCTTGAACAGCGCTTCTACATCGAGTGTGAGAACTTGAATGATTGGGCGATTGATGTTCGTATCGATACGGTTGATTTGTGGAAGCTGTGGAGGCGCGTACAGCAACTTGAGGCACGCCAGAATCGTTTCCTCTACAAGCCGCTTCCACGAGACATGAGTTTATTGCAGCCTGGAACGGTCGTCATGTTGTTGAATAATCCGCAATCATCGACTCTTGGCGCCCCTGTCCTCATAGTGGAAAACCAGTACCCTTACCTCCGCTATCTGCGCGTCAAAGAATTTAGCGACAACCCTCACTTCAACCCAACATCACGGCGCACTACTGGAAAACCTCGTCATCTGTGTTTGGAAATCTGCAAGTACCCAAAATGGGGACATGATGGCACACCAATCATGTTGGTCGAGTCTGATTCCCCGGAGATGCGTGAGTCGTCTTATGTTGAGGTATACCCAGCTCCCAGTACAAGCACTTTCGACATGTGCAAGACCTGGTGCTGGCCGCCGGTAGTCATTCAATCCCAGTCGATGGCTATACTTCGTGGTTATAGCTCATTCGTAGGAGCGCGCTTCAATTTCCAGACGACTTCACGGTCGCTATTTGTAGGGCCGACAAACCCCTTCCGCAACGGAGTTCCACAAACCCAACATGGCAACGTGGGATACCAGTCATTGCCACAACAACATGGCTACCAGGCAGCCGTGCCTCCTCCACCGCCGCATACATCGTTTGGGTTTCGCCAACCTGTCCAAAACAGTCAACTCACTGGCGTTTATGGACATGCTGGCGCCCCGTACTCACCAAGCATGTATCAGCATTGTAAGTGACACACAGTATACTCTGAATACAGCTGAGTACTGACGTCAATAGGCCCTACTATACTGTTTGACGGCTATGGCCACCCTTATTCGCACATGTAATTGTTCGCAATGGTTGGTTTGGAGAGGATGTTGATTCTATTTGGCCCCTCACGATTCGGGCAGGATTGCTAGGTGATCTAAAAGTAATGTGAGAGCATCATCTTGCTGAAGTTGTAGTTGTAGGAGCACTCTGTAATTCAGACGATCGTCTTGTATGACATCTCCTCATCGATCGTCGGTAGTTATACTCTCTTGCGACCGCTTCATAGTGTTGATACCAGATTAATCGACATGTAGTCGTGTTCTCCGTGCCAATAGACGCAATGTGAGCACATCGGCTTTTGGTGGGTGTGCATGTTGTCAGGGCCTTGATACAACCCTCAAGCTCCTTCCTCACCTGCCGCCTTTGCCCAACTGCAGATACAACCACCCTCCCACTGAACCACATTACGTCATGAACGATTTCCTTCGTCCTCTGGTATATTGTGACTGCCGCTCTCTTTTCGGTAACCGCATTAGCCGTCACCGGTGGTACATTCGGCAGAAGGAGACACCGCAGAAGGCCCTCTCCCGTATCGTACATCAGAGGAGGAAGGCCAAGCAGCAGGTAAGGGACTGCCAGTACCGCTTACTCGTTTCGCAATAGCAGAGAGATTAGACCGCGAAGCCCAGAAGCTCGACCTGGATGCCGGAACTGGGCCTGATCGCCGCGCGCATCACCCGAGCCGCAGAAACGCCAGTAAACATTACCTTGCGAGACCCTTCTCTTACTATGCACATCCCTCCTCGAGACGAAGGCTACCCAAGACAGCATCGTTGAGATTGAAGGCCGAGGGCGGAATGGGTCCTTCGGCGACAGGCAACCGAATACGCTCCACGCAGTCGCCGACTCGAGTCAGAAACAACAGACTTCCTCACTCTTACGGTCTCATCCCACAGCGACTGTCGTTGAGGAGCGCCATTGTCGCGTGGCTACAGATCCTCGTGTAAAATCTTCCGATGCCACAAGCCACCAGGGTCGAGATTCGCTCTCGACGCTCGCCGCGGGATGCCTCAACCTACTATAGTTGACGATACCCGCCATCCACGAAGACACTAGTCAGCACTATCACGCCTTCGGTTCGCACCTTGTCGAAGGACCCGAGGTCTAGTCCTGTCTCCACAAACGCCTGAAGATCCAGAGCAGCTCGTGACCCGTCACGATCGAAGAAGCCCATCGCGACCCTCTTCCATCTTATCGTCTACCGACGCTCGCCGCCTCACCGACATTTCTACACCGAGCAGAGTGCGCTGCTAGCCCCACCTAGGAAACCATATGCGTCGAGGAAAATATCAAGTCCAATAATCGGAGGCAATATGGGTGGAGATAAGGTATTCAGAAGTCACAAAGTGAGGGGGATACGCTCAATATCGGCGTGGCACATGGCAATGTGCAGCCCCTGTTGAAACAGGCTGCAAATGAGATGCGTGTCAGGGACTGCGTTTCGAAAGCCACGCTGACCGCGCTCTATCGAACCTCATTTAATACGCGGGTAATGGTTGTGTGCTGCACTGTCATCCACGCGAGCCGGAAGTAGTGCCTAAAGACGACATCTAGAGGTTCGTCGCAGCGCGTGGACGTCTGGGCATCTACAAGCGGAAGTGCGTGGGCAGATGCCTCGGTGTTACACAATATTGCATCGTTCACGCCAGCGGCCGCTACTGTAGGCAAAAGGAATCGGTTGCCACGTGTTGATACCCCTGGCACCACGGCATTATCTTGACGAAAGCCTGCATGAGTCGTCGCGCTCTGAGGATGCCGTAAGCGCCGAAGATCTTCGCCCTGTAGAGCGACCATGGGATTCTTGCGACGATAACCTAACGATAATTCTCTCGCGGCTAGAGCGGGCAAGCTTCGAAAATTCTAAAACCCTTCGAAAAAAAATTGACCCCAGATCAGCAGTATGGTCTGATGTTTGCCAGGGTAACGGCATTTGCATGCGGCAAGTCGGGATCTTTGGCGGCGGAGGATGCTGCACCGGCATCGCTTCGCAATCACAGAGGCGCCGGGGGCTAAAGAGACGACGGTCGATTCTGATGATCCGAAGCCTTCGCTGGGATGATCAATACACTTGCATCGTCGTTTTCGCTGAGCTTGGCGAGAATGAACCTCTACTCATCCGCTAGCGGCGTCTGCGCTCGCCACGGAATGTGGTTGAACGGGAAGGACCCTTTGCCAACCGCCCTAGAGCTCCGGGAGAACGCTACGATGCGAGCGAAGAATGCATTTTCGTCCCTGTGTCATCATCGCGTGGCTCCAAATTAGGTCCGCGCCCACCGCCAGTCTGAAACGCACGGGTGGATGCTTTTTTTTCTTTGACTTGTAGCACGTGCTGCATCACGCCGGGCAGCTGGGCATCGTGAGCGGGACTATTCCGGAGGAGATTGTGGCGGACCGTATGGTGAGCGTATCGCTGCTTGGCCTGGAGATGTCGGCTATACTCTGCTTACCGTGCAATCAACGTAGAGGGATCTGCAGCAGCGCAGGTGTAAAGAGGCTACGACTCGTGGGAGTTAAGTCGGAGCAATGCCGAAAGCGACAACGATGGGCAGATTGGGCACACCGGAGGCTTGAGGCTTGAAGGGTCCAGCATGGCGGAACTGTGGCAGTAATGCGGGCCACAGCCAAGGAGGGCGATGTCTCGCATGGACGGGCAACGATTCGCTGTCGCTGAGGTGGGGTTGCACACGTGGAAAGTGCGGCACATTTACCACTCTCCAGGCTGAGAAACACGACAATCTCCGCAGGCATGACCGGCCCTCACAGTCAGGCATCGATCGACTGTAGACGAGATGCAGATCTGCCGAGCCTCTTTACACATGATGACGCGCGGACATGGTTGCTCGCAGCGCAGCGTCGCGAGATTTGACAAAGATGCCGTCAGCGATTTGAGTGCGCCCGACCAATGCAGCACCTCCTGCATGTCGAGGAACGCAGGCATGCTGACCACAGCGGACATGGTGCCAGGCAAGGGTGCAACGTGCATTCCACGTTTTGGTGGCCTCAGCAGCAAACCTCCGGGCCTCTCAGTAACGGCGACGTGTTCCACATGGCCGTGGCACAGTACGACCAGTTCGTGGCAGCGGTCGCCACCAGAACGTTACGCGAAAACGGGTCCCAGGAGGTGAGCAAACGGCGGTGCAGATGCGAAACCTGGGTGTCGCTGGTATGTAAGAGGCTGCTGTGTCTGCGCAACGGCGCTTTGCTGCCTGGGGCGGCTTGGTGACACAGGTCGGTGCTCTGGGACAGGTTTGTGGAAGGGGCAGCAGCCTCTCTCAACAGAGCACAGAGGCACAACAGGATGCGCGTATCACTGGCCGTACCGGTCTTGCGTGCAGACGCGGACATGCAGCAACGTCGTCCCCTTTGAGCGCCTTGTCTCGCGTGGTGGCTGACTGAGATGGGGGCAGGCGGCGCCATCGTCGCCCACGACAGAGTGCATGCAGCTGCTCGCCGCGTGCTGAAGACGTCCAGGTCGTCGCAGCGAGCCTCTTCCGGCGGGCCCATGGCGTGGTCGCGGGCGGTCCCCTTTGTCGGCGTGCGGCGCTCAGAGACCTAGTCGTCGGCAGCGTCTCACCGTAGACAGGGGGCGGCAGAGGGCAGGGATGCCTCGTGGAAGCCCTTGGCCAAATACTTTATTCCCATGCGTTGGTGGCCGTGCATGCCGCCATGTGTCTCGTATGCGACTAGGAGGCCGCTGCGGTTAGTGCCTTTGTCATGGCCCAGCTCCAGGGCTAATTCGGCGCCATGCTAGGCCATCTTAGCTGTCTTAGGAGGGCGGTGTGAGGGCTGTTCAAGCGGCAGAAGACTCAGTGGTCACGGACCCCCAGACTGTGAAGGCCAATCCCAGCTAGGGTACCCACACATTGCCCTTCAGTGAGGTCCGCGATTTGATTCTCCGCGACCATCTTCTGCTCGGCATGCCCTTCCAGACGACATCTCTTCTCCCCTTGACTGCGTCTGTCTCCTCTGTGCCTGACAGCCTGAGCCCTCCCACCAGCGAGCCCCTCCACCCCCGACCCGACCACCACCACCACCACGACCCAGACCGACTGCCTATCGCACCTGCCTCCGCCGGCTCAGACGCACTTTCCGCGACTTCTTCAGCGAGCAAGAACAGCCCGCCCCCACCTTCCTCCCGTGCTATCAACCACGCGAGACGCTACACCCTCTCCCGCTTCCCTCTCCTCCGCAAAGGCAGCCGCGAATTGAGCAGGACGCCTTCCACCACAAAGAGCCCTGCCGAATCGCCCTTTTACGCTACAGGTGCACCACGCTCCTCGCAGTCTCTTGCGCGTGGGCCCGATCTTTCTCCCGCACGCGAGCCCGCCAGCCCCCACGACGACGGCGACGTCATAGCTGAAGAGGCGGAAAACACACACCGATTGCCAGACAGGCCGAGAGCAGGCAAGCCCGACAAGATGCATCAAACAAGTTCGCGGTTACTCCGCATGACGGACGATGAGCGGCCTTTTACAAGGGTGAGTACAACCATCCAGCAACTTTTTGAATCCGCCGAGATCGGCCCAGCCCATAATTTCGTTACCTCCGTCACCTCCCATGGAGCCGGATTTCCTAGTAGGTACTATTCCTACGAGACAACAGCGACCACCTGGGGAAAGCTTCGGAAGTTGGTCACAGTAACCACTATGATCCACTTCCAAAAGCCACCAAAGAGCAAAGGGGCCACCTTTTTGAAGCTTGCGCAGAACCACTGAGCGATCAGCTGCGACGAGCAATATCTCATACTCCCGAGATATCCACATGTCTATGGATTGGCGGAGGTCTGTTGTAGTATTGGATTTACTGCGTGCTTTTTCGGACCGATTTGAATTTCGACCGGGAATGCCGCGTGCTCGGAATGCGCCCGCAATCTGACACCTGCGTTGTGCCTTGGAACTTCCCGCAGCCGCTGCTATAGCAGTACCAAATTCTGAGCATGGGCAAGAATGTTGCTAACACATCAATTCAGGACTTCAAGGACCTCTTCTCGACGCTTATGGTTTCGCTTCCCCTCACA